CAGTGTGAAGTCCTAGAGCCCACTGAACTTGAGTTTCAAACACTGGGTGAGGGTCTATCTTGTCTCTGATTTAAAAAGGGAAAAAATTGCCCTAGCTGGTTTGGCTCAGTGAAGAGAGTGTTAGCCTGCGGACTGAAGGGTCTCAGGTTTGATTCCGTCCAAGGGCACATGCCTAGGTTGCGGGTTCGATCCCCAGTAGGGGGCGTGCAGGTCTCCCTTTCTCTTCCTCTCTGAAATCAATAAAAATATATTGTTTAAAAAAAGGGAAAAAATTTCTTCCTAAAATCTGTCTAGGTGTGGCCTTTTCTTCCCTAAGATAATGTGGTTACTTTCTCCAAGAGTTTCCATCATTGACATCTTACTAACCAATTACTCCTCATTAGTCAGGATTCAGGTAAGGGAAAGGCTCACACTGCAAAGAATGTTATAGTCCTGTGATTATAAATTAATCTTTATTTAATCTTTATTCTTTAATCTCAAGAATATGGCTTTAATATCAAGGAAGCAAAATGCCAGCATCTCTGAAAAATGTTGTATTTGCCAGCCAAAAAATAGGACTAATGCCATCTACATGGAAGAATATAAAACTGCAGTTATTTTCAAATTACTAAATAAATCTCCCCCACGCCCCACTAATATCTGAACCTAGATAACCATTTTGGAACTCTAGAACATATCCAAGGACCATTCCAATTAACCTATTTCCTAGAATTTATAACCATTTGGTTATGGCCTTTTACCTGAACTCAATTTCTGGGTTCATTATAGTCCAAGGTTTGAGTCTTTCCACAGTATTTCTAAAATCTTTGTGTGTGTTTTTTCTGAATGCCTAAACTCAGTCCCAACTGAAATCTCTTGATAAGAAATCCTTCATGTTAATAAAGAATTGGTGGTGGAAACTACATTAAAAGGATAGTGACGTGTCATCTTTATCAATTTTCCTATCTCTAAGCCATATCCTGATGGGTGCTCTGATCCTGGGATCGGAAATGTAACAACAATTAGTACCATAGGGGACTGGTTCAGATGTGATACATTTGCAAAGGAAGAACTTCTAACCTCAGCAATTATTCAGTGTGGGCAGCCTTCTTGCCATATCTCATTTTCATCAGTCGGAAGCTCAATGATGTTAATTTGGTTGAACAGTTTGCATATGGATTGAATACCTTTTTAGCCATGATTGAAGACAATTGTTAACCTTCCTTCTATAGGAATGTTGGCACAGAAGCCAGAAATGACGCAGTTCAGAAATAATTTTGTTACAGAGATGTATATAGCTCCTGACGCAGTGTTATGTCATCATTCTGCCCTCAGCCATTCTGACTCACCCTTTGCATTGGTGTTCACATTGAATTAACATAAAGCCAGGACAAAAATATCTCTATGTCACCTTAGGACAGTGGTTCTCAACCTTCCTAATGCCACGACCCTTTAATACAGTTCCTCATGTTGTGGTGACCCCCAATTTCATTGTTACAAATTGAACATAATTAAAGCATAGTGATTAATCACAAAAACAATATGTAATTATATATGTGTTTTCCGATGGTCTTAGGCAACCCCTGTGAAAGGGTCGTTCGACCCCCCAAAGGGGTCGGGACCCACAGGTTGAGAACCATTGCCTTAGGAATACTGACTCATTTACTTTTTGTTGTGTGACTATTCCCTTATTATTCACTTTTACTAATGCATACAATATTCATTTTAAATGATTGTAGCTTTATTTACAGGAGAAACACTGTGAAGTGATTTAACAGAGTGGTTAGGAGCAGACACTCGGGAGCCACCATGCCTGTATTTACATCTCAGCTCTGCCACTGGTAACTGTTTAACCTTGGGCAAGTGGCCTGACTTCTCTGTGCCTCGTTTTTCTCACAAGTAAAATGGGAATAGCAGCACCTCACAGGACTGCAGTGGGAATCAGATGAATTAATCACATCAAGTGCTTAGAACAGTGCTGAGTGCACACACATCCTTAGTGTTAGCCGCTGTGATTAGCTCTTATCTTACATTAACTGAGAACACGGTTCACATTATAAAATGTCAATCTAAATACTAAGTGCAGTACTAGGGCTGGAGGAAATTCCCATGAGCTAAAGCAGCACTTGCATGCCCTGCAGAAGGAAAGGTTAAAGCCTAAAGCTCAGGGTCAGGACCGTGGGACCATCATGGCTGTACCACCGGTCACTGGGCAACTCCGGACCCTAGAACATACCTTCCTTCATCTGCACCTCGAAGACACTCTCCACGTATCCTCGGAGGTTACTTCCAGCCTCTGACAATCTAGAATGCCTTAAATTCACATGGTTTTGTTCTGTCAGCTAGGTAGTACTATTTACACAAATCTGAACAGAAACGAATAGGCATCTGTAAAATAGTGTTCATGAAGTTAAGAAGTGAAAAATAACATGGACCGATTCCAAAGTCCAAAATGCACATTTGAGTGTCCCTGTCCCCTTGACACACGACCTTGAACAAACACCTTAAGGAGAGTTCCTCTAATACAGTTCGGGGCCTGTCCAGGATTTACAACGCACAGAACTGGGACCTGGCCTGACCCTCCCGGGGCTGAGCACAGGTGGACTCCTGGCCTGTGACCCCATTCCTAATCCTGAGGTTCTGACACTAACAATGTGATAGCCCCAAAACAGCTTCTCAGGGACAAAACTGACTTGGTGGTGCATCATTTCAAATAAAATTAAAATGATGACTTGATTTCTAAGATTACGGACTTCTCAAAGACGTTTTTATCTGAGCTCCCTGAAATAAAATCTCATGAAAAATAACAGAATGATGGTGTTTTACACACTGATTTATTTTTAAAGCATAATACATAGGAAAATGTACAGTCTCTCACAAAGTATCTGATACTTTAAATAAATCTCTAATTAGAGTAAGTATACACATTTTTAGCCATAAAAGTGCAACTTTCAGACCTCTATAGCTACATGATAGCTAATGGCAAGCTTAAGAACAGTAAAAATATGCATTTATAAAACTTTGAGGAAATCATGAAAATGGTTTATAAACATTATAAACATCCACTATATAATGTGGGAGAAGGCTTCATGATCTACTTACAAATGCTGAAATCCTGTCTTTTGTAATATTACAAAGTTATTATAAAAGTTTTAATTTACATTCTTGTTTAAACTCCCTCGTGTCATCCTCACTAATATCAAGCACAGGTTTGTATCACATATGTAAATAAACACACTTCTTTTTCCCTCATATAATGCCCCATCATAAAAACACACTTGGTCTAAGGAGCAATCAGAGCATAGCAAAGTGCTGCTTTAACTGTTTAATTAAGTGCTGGGTGTCCACGTGATCCGGAAATGCGGCCTCAGACTTCCGAGCAGCAACATAACTTCTCTGTAGATCTCCAATCTGCAAGAAAGACCAGAATAAGACCACAGAATAAAACTCCCCAAAAATGAGCAAGGGAGTCAAAACAAGACATACTATCTGCACACTGTCCAAACTCAAATGGTTCCCAAGGGTAAACTTGATTATGCTATTTGGAATTTAGAATTCTTTCACCTAGAAAACAATTCTGACTTGAAAAAATATGAGGGGAAAAAAATAACCAATTATATAAATAATTTCCTTGCTGTAAATGCCAATTACTGAATCCTTCCCAAACCCAGCAGCTCCTTAATGAGTATATTTTTAATGACTAAATGTCATATCTTAAAACGTAAAATAATTCTTCTGCAATCCATAATGGTATTAAGTTTAGGCAATATTCGGTGATAACGTTCTTTAAAGTTTATTACACGGTCCCTTAAGGGAAGACATATGTGTATATAATAATTGTGTTTAAAAAATCATTTCTTTCCAGAAGTTATGGTTAGAATGCCCTTATTTATCTGTATGATTTTTTTAAAAACCAAATTGCTATAGAAAGAGAATACCTTATCAGAGATTGTTGCAAAATTAAAATGCGGCTCATACATGTGGGGTGCTAAAGATGACGCAGTTTGCAGCAGCGCTCTTGCCTGTGTAAAGAAAAGAAAAGAAAAACCAAAGGTATCTGAGCAGATGTCAGCACTATATTTGTGGGGTTTTTTTAGTAAAGAATCCTTTACCCAAGATAGGACCTTAATAAACATGATGTGATAAATACAGATGACATTCCTCATGTAATACAACTTACTAATATACTAACTACGTATATTTTTCAAAACTAGATTAATAATAAAATGTTTCAAAATATGGTGAAAATAAGGGAAATGAAAACTTAAGTAGATTTAGTTATTTGAGAACTGCTGTTCCTGTAAAGTTTATATTTCAATATGACAACTCAAAATATAATCTTCTCAATGCTAAAAAAAAAAAAAAAAAAGTCTTGTTAATCCAGTGTGTGTTGCTGTTGACTGGTTTAGTGGGCTCCTAATGATCTGTTCTCTAATACAACAAACACAACCAAACGCCACAGCAAATTTCAAAGCTCCACGCTCTGTGCTGGGTGGCAGTGAGCATGCGTTTCCTATTCTGCTGCCAGTGCCTGAGGGTCTCCTTGACACCAAGTGTGAGAGGGCCTTTCTAAGGAGGGGATGAAGCTGACACCTCAGTGACAAAAAGAAAAGTCACTGCAGGATCTGCAAGAACTTTCCAAAGGCCCTAAAGTAAGGACAGTCCCTGCGTGTCTGCAGAGCAGCAGGCAGCTAACATGTCCAGAAGTCAGTACGAAAGGTGTACAGCAGTCCTCCCTCATCCACGGGGAAACGCTTCAAGACCCCAGCGAATGCCTGAAACCAGGGATGGTACCAAACCCTGTACATTCTATGTTTTTCTTATACATACACACCGATGATAAAGTTTAATTTATAAATTAGGCACAATAAGAGGTTAACAACAATAGTAAAATAGAACAATTATGACAATATACGTGATATGTCGTCTCTCTCTCTCTCTCTCTCTCTCTCTCTCTCTCTCCCCTAACCAATCTGATAACTGAGACAGCTACTAAGTGGCTGATGTGCAGCGCGGATGCACTGGACAGAGGGATGACTCCCGTCCTGGGCAGGATGGAGAGGGATCGCACTCAGGATGGCGCTCAATTTAAAACTCCTAAGTTGTTACTCCTGGAATTTCCCATGTAACATTTTAGGACCGTGGTTGAGCGCGAGTAACTGAAACCGAAGAAAGCGAAACCGTGGGAAAGGGGGGACTGCGGCAGCGGCAAAAGGTGTCGTCTGAGAGGGAGCCAGAGGCCACATGCCACGGGGCCTCCTAGGCCAAGGGCTGAAGTCCAGGTTTTACTTCAAGTGAAAAGAGAAAGCCTCTGCAGGATGCTAAGCGAAGTAGTAATAAAACAGTCTTGTTTGTTTCTTCAAAATCCCCGCGGCTGTCCTGAGGACGTCTTAGAGGGCACACTTACTTGCTGACTTGGAAACAAAAAGACCAGCAAGGAGACTCTGCATGGTCCAGGCAGGAGGTGGGGGGGGGGGGGGGGTTGGGGGGAGGAAGGTGGCCGGGTTCAGGACGAGGCTTGGAGGTAGGCCTGACAAGGGCTTGTCGATCATGCTGGGGACGTGGGGTGGCAGGAGAGGCGGTCCGAACAGGAGGTTTCCAGGTACCTCCTAGGATTCTGGCTTGAACAGCTCCCTGGTGGGTGGGGATTGTGAATGGTGCAACATTTCCCTACAACAGGGAAGACTGGGGGCTGCAGGTCTGTCCTGATAAACCAGGTGCTCTGTTTCGGAGACAAGTGACTCGTGCCAGGTCACATCACTAACGCGTGACAGGCTGGGATTCAAACCCGGGCCCCCTGTTGAGTTACAGCCTGTGGAGCCAGCAGCCTGTCCACTGTGCACGCGGGGCGCTGACCTGTTCCACGTGGCCCTTCCGCATCTCCAGCACGGCTAGGTTGTTGTAGGCCTCGGCGTGGTGGTTGTTGTTGACCAGAGCCAGCCTGAGGCACTGGTGGGCCAGATTCGTGTCTCCCACTCCCTGCAAAAGCAACACACATTTCCGCACACGCCGATCCACACGCTTCCTCCTGCCACCTCCTCCCGTCCGGGCAGCAGGTGCCAATCATGGGAGTCAACTGGGGAATTGTATGTGAGAGGATTTATCCCGGGAATACAAAATGAGTACGGTGACCCTGAGAAACCTCTACATTGCTACCTCAGACTGTTGCCAAGCCTGGATTCACAATTCCTGAAAGTGCCTTCAGACTGACTTGCACTACCTTTTCCATGACAGAAGTGATGTGAGAGGGACAACATACCACAGCTATATGTCCCAGGTTGTACCAGACATCAGCTGCCTCTTCTTCGTTTTCAGCCAGAGAAAGGGCACGTTCGAATGAGGTCAGCGTCATGTCGTACTGCTGGGCATAGAAGCAGCAGAGCCCCAGGTTGTTGAAGAGCTGGCAGTTATAAACGCCCATCTGCAGGAGGCGCCTTTTTGAGAAGAGGAGACATATTTGGGTGTCAGACCAACTTTACAAATGTTTAGACACATGTATTTTTTACAAAGTTAGAAATGAATTTATTTTATAATTTTAACACCCCCAAATAGAAATAGAAAGTATTGCAGTTGATGAAAAAAATGTTAAAGCAAATACAAAAGCATGCCTTTTTTAATAGTGCCAGTTATGGGAAAGGTGTCAGAGGCAAGGTTAGACACAACTTATGTAAGTTTTTTCCCCTCCAAAAAGCTTGGTTAGAGAATCAAAATCTATCTATATAAAACCCTAATATGCAAATCAACAGAATGGTGGAACAACCGGTCACTATGACACACACTGATCACCAGGGGGCAGATGCTCTATGCAGGAGCTGCCCCTTGGTGGTCAGTGTGCTTCCACCGCAGGAGTGCCACTCAGCCAGAAGCCGGGCTCACAGCTGGCAAGCGCAGCGGCAGTGGCAGGAGCTTCTCCTGCCTCTGCGGCAGTGCTAAGGAGCAGTAAGCCAAGCAGTAAAGAGTGAGCAGGCGGGCAGTAAGAAGGAAGGATCCCAGATTGTGAGAGGGATGTTCGACTGCTGGCTTAGGCCTGTTCCCCCCAGACTGTGAGAAGGCGCAGGCCGGGCTTAGGGACCCTCCTCCCCCTAGTGCACGTATTTCATGCACCGGGCCTCTAGTAAGACATAGTCACATAAAGTAAAACCCACACATTTTTGCTTCATAAAGCTTTTGTACCCATAGGTAAGCTCCTAAACCTCCTGACCTAATTTGAGGATGTTTAGCATTTACTTCCACGTTTTTAGCTGAGTGGGTCCTGTTTTTGGCGATAAGTATTTTGTGGTTTAGCTGCATCTACCGACCTCCAATGGGCTCCCACCAAGGAAGACAAGATCCCTACAGCTCAAGAAGCCCATTTGCTTCTATGCATCATTAATTCCACAGGACAAAGGACAAGAGTTCAAATAAGCAAATGAAATCCAGCCCAGCTGCCCTGAGGAACCCATGACCCGCTTGGGGGCAGGGGAACAGTCAGCTGCGTAAGACAAGACAGCACTGATATTATCACTTGTATGTATCTGGGAAGAACTCTTGTCAGTTGCCAGTTACCTCCTTGTATATTACCTAAGGGCTGAAGAGGAAATCAAAATTTAAAAATTAATCCAGAAACAAGCTGTAGGATAAAATAAGTCTGTGCTCAAAAGAGAACCAGAGAACAGAATTCATTTAGAATAAAAAAGTTTTTGAACAAAAGTTGACAATACTTCTTCACAAAACACAGGACGCTGTTTCAGGTCCCCATTGGGGCTCAGAACCTGGGGCCTGCTTCTCTTTGCAAATCTCACCCCCATCTCAGCTTCAAGGTTGTTATAGTACACAGAGTGGCATTAATGAAGGCAGAGATGGTGAGAGGGAGGTGCTTCCAGCAGCCATTAAACTGTTACTGGTCAATGACAAAATGGCTAATTCGTACAATGCCATAGGGTTAAACACTCAGGTGATTATCGGGGTGTGTTTCTACAAGATGCCAAATATCTGTGCGTTTCCAAATTTTTAGAGGTCACTTTTAATGCTTATAAA